TGGTGAACTCCTTTAGCTTTTCCTTATCTGTGAAGCTCTTTATCTGACCTTCAATTCTGAATGATAGCTTTGCTGGATAAAGTAATCTTGGTTGTAGGTTCTTGGTATTCATCACTTTGAATATTTCTTGCCACTCCCTTCTGGCCTGCAAAGTTTCTGTTGAGAAATCAGCTGACATTCGTATGGGTACTCCCTTGTAGGTAACTGATTTTCTTTCTCTTGCTGCTTTTAGGATTCTTTGTCTTTTGCTCTTGGCATTTTAATTATGATGTGTCTTGGTGTGGTCCTCTTTGGATTCCTTTTGTTTGGGATTCTCTGCGCTTCCTGGACTTGTAAGTCTATTTCTTTCACCAGGTAGGAGAAGTTTTCTGTCATGATTTCTTCAAATAGGTTTTCAATACCTTGCTCTCTCTCTTCTTCTGGCACCCCCATAATTCAGATGTTGGTATGCTTGAAGTTGTCCCAGAGGCTCCTTACACTATCTTCGTATTTTTGGATTCTTTTTCCATTTTGCTTTTCCGGTTGGGTGTTTTTTGCTTCTTCGTATTTCAAATCTTTGACTTGATTCTTGCGATCCTCTAGTCTGCTGTTGGAACTCTGCATAATATCCTTTATTTCAGTCAGTGTATGCTTAATTTCTAGTTGGTCCTTTTTCATACCCTCGAGCGTCTCACTAGATTTCTTGAGGGTCTCACTACATTTATCAGCAGTCTCACCAGACTTTCTGAGGGTCTTACTAAATTTATCGACGGTTTCTAGAAAGTTCTTGAAAAACCTTAAAAGTGTGGTTTTGAACTCTATATTCGGTAGTTTGCTTTCCTCCATTTCTGTCATTTGTGTCCTGTTTCTTTGTCCCCGCATTTTTTATGCTTCCCTGTGTTGATAGAGTGGCTTTCTGTGCTAGGTGTCCTATAGGGCCCAGTGGCTCAGCCTCCCCAATTACCTGAGGTGGACACTCTTGGTGCACCCCCTTGTGGGCTTTTTGCACAGTCTTGTTGTAGTTAAGCCTTGATTGTTGTAGGTATCACTGGGAGGAATTGACCTCCAGGCCAATTGTCTGTGAGAATCAGCTGTGTCTGCAGTGGGAGAACTTCTGTGCTGGAGACACCCCTCCGGGGCAAGACTTGCTTCAGTGGGGCTTTGGTGCTCACTGAGTCTTCCCCCTGAGTGTGTCCTTTATGGATCCCAGGAGCTGTAATCTGGATGGTCCCACTCTGACCACTGGGCACACTGGCTCCTGGATCTCTAAGGAGGTGCTAATCTAGCCTCTTCCTGAGGCTACCCAGCAGGAGCTCAGCTGTGAAGCAATGCGAGTTGCCTTGGGGCCTTGGGCCAGCTGCAGTTTGTTAGGTAATTTTCAGATTGCAAAGGGCCAGGCCTTTCATATGCAAAAGCCGGCGCACAGCTTGGGCGGGGCGGGTGTCCCAGGGGATCAACAGGGCAGAGCAAGCAGCTATGGCTGCCCTCAGAGGCCCCGCTTCTCAGTGTCCCAGCAATCGCTGCAAGCACCTCCGAGAGAAAGCTGCCCTCGAGTTCCGACCAATGCCAGACAGTCCAGTTTCTCCCGTATGAGTCTGGGTCCCCAGAGACTCGCCCGGAACTGGAGCTCAGAGCTTGAGACTCCCTACTGATTGAAAAAGACAACCGTGTCCTCAGCCGCCAGCCCTCTCCGCGTGCGCCTCCGTACCTCTGTACTTTACACCTCCTCTGAGTCTCGGTATGCTTTTCTGTTTCCTTCTAGTTGTAGAATTTCCACTCAGCCAGCCTTCCCGTGGTTCTGGATGATGTCCCTTCCATCTTTTAGTTGTATTTTTGAAGTGGTTGTGTGAGGCAGCAAACTCTGGTGTTTACCTATGCCGCCATCTTGGTTTTTTTTTCTGGACCCTTTTCATTTATTTTTATTTTTATTTTAAAAGACCAATTAATTGTTTTTGAGAGAGAGAGAGAGAGAGGACAGGAGAAGAGAGAACCATTGATGTGAGAGCATACCATTGATTGGCTGACTCTTGCACACCCATAACCCATGCATGTGCCCTGACTGGGAATCAAACCATTGACCTTTTGACCTTTCAGTGAATGGGACAATGCCCAACCAACTGAGCCATACCCACCAGGGCCTCTGTGGACCCATTCCCTTTTATTTTTATTTAAAAAAAATACTTTTATTGATTTCAGAAAGGAAGGGAGAGGGAGAGGGAGAGAGAAACATCAATGATGAGAGAGAACCATCCATAGGCTGCCTCCTACAAGCCCCCTATTTTGGCTCGAGCCTGCAACCCAGACATGTGCCCTGACCAGGTATTGAACCATGACCTCTTGATTGATAGGTTGACACTCAACCACTGAGCCACGCTGACCAGTCATGTAGGCCCATTTTAGAGTTATGACCTCTAAAACTCTAAGACAACAAATTCATGTTATTTTATGCCACTAAATTTGTGGTATAACAGCAATAGAAAAAGAAAATAGGGACAATATAAGCTATAAACAAACATGCTTTGGTGAGCTAGATAGAGCCTGCCTTGCTGGGAAAACTCTGACAGAAATATTTGCTTGGAGCTAGTAGTAACAAGGACAATGAGAGAGGAGGAATAGAAATAGATAGAAAGGGTCAACACAAAATTGGCAGATTCCCAGGATTTGAAGAGAATGGGTGTATTAGTCAGCTGGGCTGCCAGAGCAAGACACCCCAGACTAGGTCGGTTAAAAAACACAAGTTGCTGCCAGGTGGCTTCTGACAACCGGCGCGAATGTCAGCGGGACAGATCCAGATCCTGGGCCAGCAAGGGCATCCCACCGCCTGCCCAGAGGACGGATCGCATCTCGGCCCCACCCCTATCCCCCTGGGGACCCCACCGTGCATGAATTCATGCACCCGGCCTCTAGTTCATAATAAAATAGACAACCTTTCTCGGTTAAAAAAAAACACAACAAAAAACAAAAAAAAAACCCACAAGTTATTTTCTCACAGTTCTGGAGGCTAGAAGTCCAATGTCCAGGTCTCAGCTGGGTTGGTTTCTTCTGAGGCCTTTCCCCCTGGCTTGCAGACTTGCTTCTTCTCACTGTGTCCTCACATGATCTTTCCTCTGTGTGTGCTCTGCCTGGGTGTGTCTGTGTGTCCAAATTTCCTTTTATAAGGAGATCAGTCAGAGTGGCTTAGGGCCCAGCCTAAGGGTCTCATTTTTAACTCAATCGCCTCTTTACAGGCCCCATCACCAAATAGTCACCTGGGGGCTAAGACTTCAATATATGGATGGGTGGGGAGGTGGGGGGGGGGGAAACACACACAATTCAGCCCATAACAATGGGATTGGCAAATGGAGGAACAGTCTACAAAATAACCAGTAAGTGCCTAGATTGGAGACTAAGGCAATATTCAATGCACTGAAAAGTGATTCAGTTTGGATGCAAGATTGGCAAAAGGATGTTACTGGAACAATTGGCAATAATTTGAATAAGGTGCATAGTTTAGATAATAGTATGACATCAGTGTTTATTTCCTTGTTTGATAATTGTACTATGGTTATGTAATCAGTATTGGGAAAGCTTGAGTGAAGAATATATGGGAACTCTGTACTGTGGGGGGTGCAGAAAGAGTTACCCCAAGATGTGCCCCTGAGGTATGGGGATTGTTTCGAGCTAAAGACCACTTTTACTTCTCCCTAGACTACCTAGGAGAACTTGAATTAAGGGCCTTGCCTACAATAAAAGATTATAAGAGCTAACCTTTTTTGACCTACCTGTTTGGCAGGACAAACCACTCGTTACTGAATATCTGTTCTCCCTGTAATGTCCTTCTAAAGCCCCAAGGTGCATTGCCTTATCTCTAGCGCAGGATGTCTTACATACCTCAATCCCCCTTTCTACCTCTGCACTTCTCCTGTATGTGGGGTCTCTGACTCTCTCATGTATGAGGGGTACCCACACATATGTATGTAGCAAATTTGGTTGTTTTCTCTTGCCAATCTGTCTCATGTCTATTTGACTATTAGACCGGAGTAGAAAATGGTACCCCGCCCCCACAATGGTTATGTAAGATGGGAACTCTGTACTATGGGAACTCTGTACTATTTTTGCAACTTTTTTTTTCTGTCTATAATTACTTATTTCAAAATTAGAAGTTAAACATTTAAAAAGTAAGTAATATAGGGCTAACAAAGAGGAGAGACAGGGAGAGAGAGAGAGAATAAGAATGGGATTGGAAGTTACAGCAAAGGAAGAAATAACGGGGGAAGAATCAAGGAGAAACTGAGTTCCATGAGATCAGAGATTATATCTGCGGTCTGGGTCCCCAATGACCCCTGCTTCTGGGACAGTGCCTTGGGAGGCACTACTCACCAAATCCCAAACTCTGAAGAGGAGAAGGCAGTGGGCCCATTGAGCTCTACCTCACATTCATGAAAAGCCTCAAAGTTTAAAATTTGAATTTGTACCCAAATTTAGATCGTGTACTGTGTGTGTTGAAACTGAATGCCTTGCATGTAAACATTTAAGATACACTGCCCTCTTGGTAACTGCGTTTTGGTATCCATTCTTGTTTTCTCCCCTTCCTTTTAAACTTTTACTTGGGGGGGGGGATATAATTCACATACAATAAAATCCACCATTTAAAAGCGTATTTAATGCCTTTCTGTGCAACCAACCCCATCCCCAATTAGCGGTCAGCTAGCACCCTCCCACCGCAACCCCCACCCTATCTATGGCCCCGTCCCTGACAGCCTCTAGTCTACTTTCTGAGGCCTCCATGGCTTTTTCTCTTCTGGGCATTTCTTGTGAATAGATCTTGCATTCCGGAGACCCGCCGCTTTTCGAAAGCTCAGCCCGCACAATGGCTAGTGGCCACGGGATTGGGCCGCACGGATTGCGCGGGGCACCCAATCGCTTTGGAGCATCCGGAGGAGGCAGGTGCAGGTGGCGGGAGGAGGCGCCGCGGACCCAGGCGGTGAGAGGCGGGGCGCGGCCCCGGGAGCCCGCGGCGGGTGCCGGCGGGTGCAGGCGGGTGCAGGCGGGATCCGTGCGCGGGGCATGGCGCGCTGGTGGCGGGCGCTGCCGAGCGCGGCCCGGCGCTTCCCGTGGCCCACGAACGTGCTGCTCTACGGCGCGCTCTTCTCCGCGGGGGACGCGCTGCAGCAGCGACTGAGCGGCGGCCCGGCCGACTGGCGGCAGACGCGGTGCGTGGGCACCGTGGCCGTGACCTTCCACGCCAACTTCAACTACGTGTGGCAGCGCCTGCTGGAGCGCGCGCTGCCGGGCCGCACGCCGCGAGCCATTCTGGCCAAGGTGCTGTGCGACCAGGCCGTCGCGGGGCCCGTGGCCGTCACGGCCTTCTACACGGGTGAGATGCCGGGGCGGGGTTCCGGGGGCCCGAGCTTCGCAGGGACCAGGCTTGGGGGAATGGAGGCAGGGGCCCGGACCGAGGGGTATAATCCTTGGTGGGAGGGTAGGAGTTCAGGGTTGGGGAGGGGGCTGGAGGTGAAGGTGCAAGGGCCCAGAAGTTTGGGGACCCGGGATTAAGGGGGCCGAGGAGAAGTTGGGCGATGGCTGGAGAGGCCAGGGATTAGGGAACCAACGTCCAGTGGGTCAGGGATCAAGGCGGCCAGGAGCGCAGTTGAGATTTGGGGGGCTGTGCATAGTCGGAGGCTGGAGATTTCAGGGTGCATGGGGCTTAGGTTGGAATCGGGAGGCAGGGCTGGGGGCCATTTCCGCCTGAAAAAGGTCCACCTGTGTCCAGGAGACCCTAGCTTGTGATCACAGCAGCTGCAACCCCGCTGAGCTAGTTGTGGGTCAGCCAGCCTGCCCCTGGGAAAAGCCATGGGGCCTCCTTTCCACTGGCGGACATTTCTTTCCAATACACCAACGAGACGTGAGGGGACTCAGCAGCATGGGGCCATTGTGGGCGGAACCTGAAATTGGGCCAGGTTTCCCAGAAAATTCAGGCTCGGGGCACTAGCCTTGCTTTGGTAGGATTTTCCTGTGGAAAGAGGGGTGTGTGTGTGTGTGTGTGTGTGTGTGTGTGTCCCATCCTGACATCAAAAGCTACTGAAAATGTGAGGGGACCCCTGCCCAAGAGGACTCTACGCCTGTGAGGGCCCTGGGAGCTCCCTCCCCAGAAAACCTGTTATCTGAGGGCCGGGCTTTGGGAACCTTGCTCAGGTCCCTACATACCAAAAACAACGGAAAGGGCTCTGTGGCTTCCATCGTCTTCAATTTCCACAGCCTGGAAAGGAGTGGGCAGGGGAGATCCTGGGCCTGGCCTTGGCATTAGGGATCACAGGTCACCCCAAGAAGGTCTTCTTGTCAGTGGCTGTTGGTGCCTTTTAAACCGGGTTGAGCCTGGCCAGCGTGGCTCAGTGGTTGAGCGTGGACCTATGAACCAGGAGGTCACTGCCCCATTCCTGGTCAGGGCACATGCCTGGGTTGCAGGCTCCATCCCCAGTAGGGGGCAATTGATGATTTTCTCTCATCACTGATGTTTCTATCTCCCTCTCCCTCTCCCTCTCCCTTTTCTCTGAAATACATATATAAAAAACGGTTTAAACTGGGTTGAGGTGGTCAGTCACCATCTTGAAGAAACCTATACTGCCCCATAGATCTTATTTGGGGGTAGGGCAGATTCTGTTTCTCTCTTCACAAACCCCACAGAAAACTCAAAGGACAGGACTGCTTGATGCAGCCTCAGCCAACTACATGGCTCAGGGGATCAGTGAGGTCAGGGAAGTCACAGTAATGGAGAACCTGAGAGCAGGGACCCCCTGGTTTATCAGATATGTGTCTGCTCCCAGGGCGTGACTTCCTGGCCGGATTTGCAAACTGGTTCATCATACCAGTTACTAGTGGCTTTGTACAGGGGTGAAGGGCTTGGGAGCTGGGGGCTGTGAGTTTGGGAATCAGATTCCCATTTAATCCTCACACAACCCTGTGAGGCAGGTAGTCTTATTATAATGTAGTCTCATGTTACAGATTAGGAAATCAAGGCCCCAAGGGTTTAAGTGACTGGCCCCAAGACAACACAACTCATGCTGTTCTCAGACTCGGTGACTGTTGTCAGTGTGCCTGATCGGAAAGACAATTAAACAACAGTGCGTGGGGAAGCCTATGGTTCAGGCCTGAGGCCCCTGAAACAGAATCCGGCCCAGGTGCTTGTTTTGCTTTCAGATTTCTGGCCCAGTGTGCCTCACTTCCTGTTAAAATGCAGAAGGAAGGTGGGACCCCTTGGGCTGGATGTTTGCTCCAGGCACTTACAACTTAGAAATTGCTTGTATCAAATGATCCTTTGTGCCTTGGGGAGCTTGAGTAGTGATTAAGAGTTCTGGCTTGGAATCTACACCTGGGTTGGTCTTGGACCACTACTATTTTTTTTTTATCCTCACCCAAGGGAAGGGAGGGAGATGGAGGGGTGGGGAGAGAAGAGAGAAAGAGAGAGACAGCCTGTGAGAGAGACACATCAATAGGGGCCAAGGATTGAACCTGCAACCCAGATACGTGTCCTTGACAGGGAATTGAATCTGTGACCCTTTGGTGCACAGGCCAACGCTCTAACCACTGAGCCTACAGGCCAGGGTAGTCTTGGCCCCCTATTAACCTTCCTGAACTCTTTTCCTTCTCTGAAACTGCAATCCTCAGCTGGTGGTTAGGAGGATCAAATGAAATAGTGCACACAAAGTGTTTAGCACTTAATTAGTGCTGGTTAAGTGGAATGAGGTTTACCAATATGCCGCTGGGTTTTCTGATGAGTTCTGTTCTAAGAATCCCCTGCAAAGTGACTAAAAATATTTTATTTCCCCTTCCTCCTTATGCAATTTGGGGGAGAATTTTTTAAATATTTTTATTGATTTCAGAGAGGAAGGGAGAAGAAGAGAGAGATAGAAACTTCAGTGATGAGAGGGAATCATTGATTGGCTGCCTCCTGCAGGCTGGACCGAGCCCACAACCCAGGCATGTGCCCTTGACCAGAATCTAACCTGGGAACCTTCGGTCCACAGGCTGACGCTCTATCTACCGAGCCAAACCGGCTAGGGCTGGGGGAGAATTTTTAAAGCACTCATTTTTACACCCTTCCTCAAATAGGAGGATTTCGTCCTTGTTCCCAGAATTTCTTTTCAGAGTTGTCAACATCAAAGTTTTCAAAATGTTTTTAGGAAGGCTGAATTGGAGTTCTGCTTTTCAATTCTGATTTAAAAGCCTCTTTCTTTGGTGGGAAACTTGTAGTTGCCAGAATACACAGGATCCGTTAGCCTTTTTTTTTTTTAATTAAATCTTTATTGTTCAGATTACATTTGTTCCTCTTTTTTTTCCCCCCCATAACTCCCCTCCTCCCAGTTCCCGCCCCACCCTCCGCCCTCACTCCCCACCCACTGTCCTCATCCATAGGCGCACGATTTTGTCCAGTCTCTTCCCGCATCTCCCACTCCCCTTTGCCCCCCACGAAAAGAAAGCCATTCCCGTTCTATGTCCCCTGATTATAATAAATCACCCAGTTCATTCGGACATTCAAATTATATTATACACATGAATTCATAGACTTTCCCTTGGTGAAAAAGTGCAAGATTGTTGTTCATAACTTAGAATCTTTACCCTTATTCTTCATCCTCTTTCTTAAAGGAAAA